TGTATACAGGCTCGCATACATACAAATTCAAATCAATATCAAATCAAAATAACTTTATTTATCTATTACGAATTTCATTTCCAAGCAGAGCTCTAGTAGCCAGGCTGGCGCCACCTAGTCCCTCCGCTCAATTTCATTTCTCTCAAGCGATTAGGTCAGGAATTGGAATACACTAGACAGTTTGTAAGAATCCCGGAAGCGCGAGTCCAGACACCAGAGTCATACATTTAAAGCCGGAACACAGAGAATGTTTTCAGGGAGAATTTTATCAGGATGGGATGTAACAATATCCAACTTTATGATATTATCACAATATGCATTTCATGGTACGATATTTATTGCGATATTTTGGAGAGGCTGATATAATTCTAGATAGGACACTTTTTTGACAAGATTGAAGTTTGACAGGATTTTGGTGTGAATTATTTCCATCAAAATCCCAAGAATTAAGTAAAAAACATATTTCTTCATGTTGTCTGCACTGAAATGAATCATGGGATATGTAATTCCCTATGTTTATAAGCTGTTGCTACTATATAACAATGCATTTAAGCAAAGGAGCTTGTAATTCGATATATTGTGACAGCCCACGATATTATTGTGAGACTTTTGGCGATATGATATCACGATATTTCGGATACTGTTACATCCCTAGGAAAGACGTTACTGTCCTTCTTCCTACGGGATTTGGGAAAAGCTTAATATACCAGTTAGCCCTGTTAGCGGTGCATTACATACGTCACAACCAAATAGCAGCGATTGGTTAAATTTTTTAAAATCCCGCCTACTGTCAAGCGACCAAATTTTAATGCTACGACGTCAGATGGTTTCCACAAAATGAAACAGGCTAGAGCTCCAGCACAAGTAGAGACACAACATTTACATCCATAAAATATCATAAATGGCACATTCATCAAAACATATAATTTGTATTTACCTTTTTTTTTTTATCTGCATACTTGTATTATTCTAGTATAATTTCATGGAAATTATCAAAATCAAATATATACTGGCCATTTTATATTAAGAGAACTTGACCATGAAAAAAAATATATTGTCGCTCTCTACTTTCTAAAAAAGCCTGTCAGGATAATAACTATACTGGTATCATTCAAAACATTTAAGATGGAGCAAATATTTCTTCAACTTTCTTGTAGTGTGATAATGTGATAATGTAAGATAGATACGTTTTATGGCATACTGTGGAACATTCCCGCCAGTCATATCTCCATGGAGACAATTAGGTGGCAGTTAACCTCCATTATGGTTATTCTGTCAGTGGCACAAAGTAGTTTTAATATTTCCATGATATTTTCTGTAAATACGCACCTCCCTCCTATATGTTACTGTGACCTATTTGAGGTTTATTTGTATTAATGTGAATTACGCACTGCTCCATTTTATCAGAGCCCCAAAACAGTTGTTAGTTCAGATAAATCCCGACTTTAAACCCTTGCACAACATAAGCTAATCCTCCAGCTACAATAACTACTGTTTTGGGGACTGTAGTTGACTGTTGACTGCTCTGCCTCTCTAAACATTGGGCGAGTGGGTCAAAGAAACAGAATACAGCATCTATCTGGCTATCTGTCTCTGGAATGAAAACTAAACTTACAAGTATGTGCGCATTTGACAAGGTTTGGAGTGTTGTGAAACGGCTACATATTTGGGTTAATCAAACAAGTATCCCTGCAGAAAAATGAAGCACAGTGAAGCCTTGATTACACATAATAAATCTGGACTTGTTTTCAGCTCAAATTTGTTTCACTTTTTGTCTTTTGTAACATTTGCGATTTATGTTTTGATAACAGGATTCAAAGTTTGCTGGAGGGTCAGTCAAATGCTTTTCTCCATGGAGATGTTATTGGTTTGTCTAGAATGTTTCACAGTATGGCATTAAATCTTTCTATCTTCAAGGAGACAAAGTTACACATCAGATCTGTGGAGAGGCAACCCCAAAATACCTGTTTTTCTAGGTTTTTTGAGCTTTAAAAACCTGTAATTGAATAAATGTAAGGTAGAACTGTTTAATGTCATACTGTGGAACATTCCAAGTTACATAGCGAACCTTTAAACACAGCCAGAATTGACAAAATGACTGAAATTTGAACAGTTATGCAGAATAACACAACATTTTTGGTTGTTTGTGGAGAAAATTATGGTACATCAAAAGTGGCAGCTAATTGTGTCCTTCAAATTGGAATTTCTATTTGCTTGCAATTCATCTTTCTTCACCACCATCTTTCTGGTGGAGTGTCCACCATCAGCTTGTCTCCATGGTGATGTATTGTTTTGCCTGGGATGTTCCACAGTATGGCATTAAACCAATATATCTTGTATTTATTCAACTGCAGGCGTTTTATTTCTCAAAGCATGCATTATTTCTGTGAGCAGGTCCAATTCTCCACAGATCTGACCTGTAACTTGGTCTGGTGATGTGGCCTGCTTGTCTCCATGGAGAGAGTTAAATTAAATGCCATACTGTACATCATTTCAAGAATTTCAAAAACAACATGGAGTCAAAAAGGTGGCAGACCCTCTACCAGAAAAGTTACACAGAGCACCTTCAATCTTGCAAACATATTTTTTCTCAAGTTCAGTTTTGCGAACTTGACACACTGCTCTTTTAATCTTCCAGTCTAAATCCTGTCTGTATACAAACACAAGTATTGCACTGTCCTCTGCTTTGGCCCCTAAACTGCTGACTCCAGAACCTCATTTACATTTACTTTGGCTGTGGTGTCCTCTCAGTCCATTCATTTAAACTGCAACTTCACTTACACTAAACAGGAGAGATATTTAAAGGTTCTATATTACACAAAATTGACTCTTATAAGCTTTAAGCCATATTATAATGGCGTATCTCGTCAAAAACATACCTGGAGTTGTGTTTTGTTTCATTTATATATGTTTGAGTAATCCTGTGTTATTAGTCTGTCTACATCTCCAAAGCTAGGCTGGTGCCACCTAGTGCCTCTGCTCAAGTTCATTTCTCTTCAGCGACTAGGTCAGAATACAGTAGACAGTTCGCAAAAACCCCGGAAGTGCAAGTTCGGGCACCAGCCAATCAGCGAAGAGCCATATATTCAATGAAGAGCCATATTCTGTGTTGTCAACGATTCCCGAGATCAAGGATTTAAAGACAGAATAAAGAGAATGTTTGGTGAATTTTATCAAGGGGAAAGACGTTATTGCCCTTCTTCTTATGGGATTTGGGAAAAGCTTATGATATTAGTTAGATACGTCACGACCAAATAGCAGCGACTGGTTAGATGACAAAAAGTACCCGCCTACCGTTGAGCGAACAAATTGTAACACTGCAAGGTTAGACAGTTTCCATGAAGTGAAAGCGGATCAGGCTACTCCAAAGCTCAAAATGTTTAAAATGCTTTGTTTCACCTTGTGATGTCATGACATACTAGTTTTAAAGTTAACAGCTACCTTTTACCTTTGTTTAGTAGAGATGAGCAATTCCAGGGCTGAAATTATTCAAATGATTCTAGTGAAGGTGTATGGAGTTTAAAAACACAGTGGAGCACTTCCTGTATTGCCACTTCACATCACAAAATGGAACAGAGCGTTTTCTTTTTGAGAGAAGAACTCATCTTAAATCTGCAGGGTTTGTGTGTTAAACGTGTGAATGAAACAAAACACAAATCCGGATATGTTTGTGATGAGGAAACAACATTGTAACAGATCAGAAAATAGAGTAATATGGGCCCTTTAAGCACGCTGAGGATTACTAGGATTTGAGTGAGTCTAACTTTTCATGCACTTTGGCTGGACAGCTGCGCAGGCCCCGGCTCTACCCCCTCCAGAGCAGGTCATGGGACAGGCCCTCAGACCCTCGGACCCTCTGCTCTGGAGGATCAGGTTCAGGATCGGCGCACGGAGAAACGGACAGCTGTTGCTTTCTCTCAGGCAGGACTCAGGAAGGAGGCAGAGGAAACCAGGCATCTTCAAGTCTGTTTACATCCTGTTACGGACTGTCAAGTTCGGGTGGGACTCGTTGAATAAATGTGTAATATAGAATGTTCATTTACAGTCTAGAAGCTTATTTAGAGGGATGGATAATATAATGGTGCGACTAATGGTATTTCATAGATTTGTCCTCAGAGTATCAAACATGTGTGAGTTAAACTAGAAGCAAAAGGCAAGTTTATTTGTAAAGCACAATTCGTAATTCAAGCAGTAATTCACAAGAAGAGGTGGCTGTATTTTTAAATACGATCATAAAAAATGCAACAAATTGTTTAAGTTAAAAAGTTAATTTGCAAACTATGACTTTGAGAAATGTCAGTGCAAAAACAGCAAAACAAATCCATATCCATAAAAGCTGAATAAAACCATTAGTGGTAATTGTGCCATTCTTCCGCAATCTGTGGGTAACTGCATTATCTGGTTTAGATCAATTATGTATTTGTATAATGGACTGAATGTCTGAATGCCTGACAATAGTTTTTGTAAGATTTACACTCAGGTTTACTAAGTGCCTCAAATAAGTGAGTCATGCACTTGAACATACAATATCAGCAGTATGGATACACTGAGTCGGATAATAACAGAAGTATAAAGAAATAAAAAGTTATTTATCATAATTTTGGTTTTAGTTCATCTTAAAAATAAATGTGTCGTGGCTGCTTTGCCTTTAATCCAAACGCAACAGATCAGTAGCCTACTTTCTTTCGACTAAAATGCCAAAATTTAAACCCAAGTAAAACTAACACTCCCCATTTTGATAAGCCCACGTGCCTAACATATCTTAAAAATCACTCTTAGTTTCGGACTTTTTCACTTGTTGTTACAGCCTCTTAAACTTGTAACTGCAAAAATACAACATTAGATGGACTTTTTTAACGTGAGAAATAGCAGGTGGTAGATTTTCCTTTCAAACCATGCATTGTAGTTTGGAATTAACAGCTGGTTCAATTCAAACGGGTCACATCCAAAGTTCAACAGCAAGAGATAAAAACAAAGAAAAAAAAAACGAGGGGACTTACGGGCAGCCGGTGACAGCTCACTCCGGGCACCGCTGTTTGTCACGAGCCGTGGGCAGCTGTCAAAAGAAACATCCCAACGATCGAGCAAAGTGCATCCACGTGCAAAGATTACGCGCGATCTCCAGCTCCCACCATAAAAACATCAGCAGATTGCAGCGCGCCGTTCCTCGCAGGAGTTGTCCAAAGTTGCGTCTTGTTGTCGAGGTTCTGTGAAAGAAATAACCACTTCACTTCTCTTCACATCCCCTGCCTGCTGCTCGTGAGCTGCGTGCGCGAGTGTGACAGTGCGGTGGGCAGTGTGCGCGCGGCCGCCACAGGAAACGGGACAATGGCACCTCGAGCGGCCGGTGGGAGGGAGGGGGCTGACCCGGTTTGAATAAAGGGCCCTGGAGAGAGGGAGGAAAGACTTGAGACAGCTCTGAGATTGTTATTACACAAGGACACGTCTATTAGACTCGTGCATTAGAGAGGGACATACAAGGTCTAGTGTAGATGCACAATGGACTTCCAGTGATTCTCAATGTGGAACACGTACAGCTGTGTATTTTATCTCTTTAATCGTGTACTCTTATCTTTGGAGTCATTTTGTTTAAAGGTGCACTGTGTAACTTTTCTTGTGCCTTGTCTTCATTACTGCTTTGCCTGGTATGTTCCGCAGTATGGCATTAAGCATATAAAGTGAGAACAAACGCTAAATCAAGATATGTTTCAGTTATTGGTGTGAAGTTATGCAATTAACTAAATGATGAATTGAAATTATGTACTTCCTTCTTAAGGTTTAGTAAGTAAGTAAGTGAGTAAGTAAGTGAGTAAGTAAGTGAGTAAGCCTTTATTTATAGAGCACCTTTCACAGATAAAAAAAAAAATCCATCAATCAATCAAAAAGTGATTTACAGAGTGCAATAAACAACATATTCAACAAAAAAAACAAAAAAAATCATTAAAAAAATTCATCAATTCATCATCACAATATCTATTTCCATGATAACAGTCAAGTAATACTGTCGGACCCAGTTACAGGTCAGCTCTGTGGAGCCCTGCTTACAGTATGAATATATGGTTTTTTTTTGTTGAACTTGTGAACAATAAAAAACATGTGATTGTATAAAACTGAATAGTCTATTTAAGTTTAATGTCTACTATTGAAAATACTATTGAAAAAACAGGCCAATATGATCTCCAAGGAGAGAAGGAAGTGGTAAACCTCAAAAGTTAGACAGCGAATCTTCACTTCTATTATAATGCATGTTTACTGTAAGTGCTGTGGTAAATGTGCTTTATAAATAAAACTGGCACAAACATACAACAACTGAAAAACATTTCAATCAGTTTGGAGTTTTATCCTCATCTTTATTTTGTTTTTAATTGTGCTACTTAGTTCACAAAGGCCATTATGGTTGATTAAGTTGCTTACTGATGCATGGTACTTCAAATATTTTCAGAAATGGTAGTCAGTAAAGTAGTAGCAGGCTTATAGCTATTCAAAATGACAAGCTGCATGCAAACCTACTTACATGAGTATAGATAGAACCATATGTTGCCTCGTTCCAAATAGAAAGTGAGCAGCAACTCTCCAATTGACTTTACATTGAAAAATTATCACCCTCTCTGTAACTGCTGCAGAGAGTCTCATCATTTTGGTCTTAACATTTCTGTATACATGATCCTGATGTTTTTACTTTGCAGTTTTGTCCGTAAATAAGTTCTCGTTCTTAATATGGCTCCAAACTGGCTCCTATGACTGCTAGCCTCGTGAGCTTCATTTGACTGGAGCCGAACGCTTTGGATAACGTCCCTCAGGCCACTTCTTTACACAGTCTATGATGAGACTCCCAGTATTTTCTGAGGTAGATTGTATTGTAAATGGGGTGAAGTCATTGTCAATAAAGAGTTTTATTTCTGTCTATAGCAGCTGACAAAAATGACAAGATCCAAGTCTACTAACATGGGCACTGATGAAACATTTGGTCTTCCTGCAAAGTCCCTACTAAACTCAGAATTAAACTTGGACTACTAGATCAGGACTAAATCAGGACTAGAGCAGGACCAAACCAAGTCTACATTAGGATTGAACTGGACCCAAACCAGGACGGAGTGACCGCAGCCTTGTTTTTGGCAGTTGTTGGAGATAATGTGATATATTTCTTGTTGAGTACATACACAGAGCTCAAGTTAATTGTTAACAAGTGAGTCGAGACTGAGGCTGTTTCCGAAATTGAATTAGCAACAGTTGTGCGCCTGTTCAATGAGTCCACTGTCAGTATTGTGTAAGGGGTCATTTAGGGGTCATTGGGGTCAAGAGGTCAACTGATGGTAGTACTGATTAGTAGTAGCAGTAGTAGCAGTTTTCCTAGTAGTTCTCCTAGCAGTAGTAGAAATCATGATTCCCTATTAGCTATAGTAGTAATAATAGTAGTAGTAGTAGTAGTAGTAGTAGTAGTAGTAGTAGTAGTAGTAGTAGTAGTAGTAGTAGTAGTACTATAGTAGTAGTAGCAGTAGTTCTCCTATCAGTAGTAAAAATCATGATTTCCTATTAGCCATAGTAGTAGCAGTAGCAGCAGTAGTAGTAGTAGTAGTAGTAGTAGTAGTAGTAGTAGTAGTAGTAGTAGTAGTTGTAGTGTTGTTGTTGTAGTAGTAGTAGTGTTGTAGTAGTAGTAGAAATCATGATTCCTTATTAGCAGTAGTAGTAATGGTAGCAGTAGTAGTAGTAGTAGTAGCAGTAGTAGCAGTAGTAGTAGTAGTAGTAGTAGTAGTAGTAGTATAGTAGTAGCAGTAGTTCTCCTACCAGTGGTAAAAATCATGATTCCCTATTAGCCATAGTATTCGCAGTAATAATAGTAGTAGTATAGTAGTAGTAGTAGTAGTAGTAGTAGTAGTAGTAGTAGTAGTAGTAGTAGTAGTAGTAGTAGTAGTAGTAGTAGTAGTAGTAGTAGTAGTAGTAGAAATCATGGTTCCTTATTAGCCAGTAGTAGTAGTAGTAGTAGTAGTAGTAGTAGTAGTAGTAGTAGTAGTAGTGATAGTAGTAACAGAAGTTAGTATTTATTAGTAGTAATGAAGGGCCCTTGGTTGCTACATAGTACTAGTCCAATAATCTGTTTTGTATGGTGGTGTGATGGAGCACAGATTTTATATCAGATGCCCTTCCAACCCAAAGGCACTGTCACTTTAGGCTTTATTTAAGTCTATGTACCGTGTAGTATAATAATAAAATGAAGGAAGTTAGTGTTCAGACATAAAGAGTAAAAATAACACATGAGAGACGAGCACTCCCTGATCTGTCCTTCATAAACAATAGGTCATTGTCTATTAAACCATAAAAATAGTTAAAATATGTGTGCTTATTCAGCCCAGTGGGATTAACACAAAGCAATCCGAGTATTTTCATAAGATTCTCCAGAAGGGCAAAGTGGAGCTATTTTCGCCCATCAAAGTCCATTGTTAAGATACAGTGTAGGTGTGTAGAGCAGTGTGGTTATTTTTAGCGGGTGATGGGGCGGCCCGGGCTGATTCCTATTGTGTTTGTGCTGTCAGTGTTTGGGGCAGGGGCAATAGGGACCCGCCGAGGGGCATTTGGACCCAGAGGAAGTGAGTTTGAGGGGGCAGCGTCTGGCAGGCTGACCACTGCACAATGGAGCAGGCCTGACAGGACATCCTGCCTCTAGCACCAAGCACACTCACACAGAGATACAAAGTGCACACACACACACACACACACACATACAGCAACACACATGTATACACACACACATAGACACTGTTGGGGAGTAACAGATTACATGTATCAGAGTTACGTAATCAGAGTACAAATTATTAGTAACTGTATTCGGTTACAGTTACTGTTTAAGTGAGTGGTAATTAGATTACAGTTACTTGGTTGAAATAAATGGATTACACAGAGGTATTTTCCTGTTTTCACATTTTGGGCTATATCCCTTTTTTTTTTTTTTTTTTTTTTTTTTTTTCGGTAATTCCACTCATTGCCAGACACTAAATCAGGTCTAAAACCAGGTCTAAACCAGGTCTAAAATCAGGTCTAAACCAGGACTAAAACCAGGTCTAAACCAGGTCCAAACCAGGTCTAAACCAGGTCTAAAACCAGGTCTAAACCAGATCTAAACCAGGACTAAACCAAGACTAAACCACGTCTAAACGAGGACTAAACCAAGACTAAACTAGGACTAAAACCAGGTCTAAACCAGGTCCAAACCAGGTCTAAACCAGGTCCAAACTAGGTCTAAACCAGGTCTAAAACCAGGTCTAAACCAGATCTAAACCAGGACTAAACCAAGACTAAACCACGTCTAAACCAGGACTAAACCAAGACTAAACAGGACTAAACCAGGACTAAAACCAGGTCTAAACTATGCCTCAAACAGGATTTAACAGGACTAAATCATGCTGCATGGACCATGTCTCCTCTTCTTCTATCAATACTATTTTTAATTTGGTTAAGTAAAGACTGGGCTTTTTATTATTTTTATAGCAGACAAAACATCTTATGTGAAGATGTCTTCGTCTTTGCTACTCTACAACAAATCAAGTAATCCAAAGTATTCAGATTACGTTACTCACCTTAAGTAATTTAATGGATTACGTTACAAACTACATTTTGGTGTATGTAATCTGTAATCTGTAGGGGAATGCATTTTAAAAGTAACCATCCCAACACTGCGCATAGATATACAGAAACACACAGACACACAAATACACAGATACAAACTGCACTGATGCCCCCTCCTAAAAGATGCTTCTAAAGTAGATCTGTGTGAGTCATGTCTTTCTCTGTTTAAAAGAAATGTTTTTGTAACCTGTGACTGGAAAACGTCTATTTAAAGCTGGCGTCAACCATTTGTTTTGGAACATAACTTTTTTTTTTTTTTTTACATGATTTGTCATATAACAACATAACTTAACATAATTTGCTTGGAATGTCCCACCACATGGCATTAAACTTAGGCAGATATTTGCATTTTATTGATAGATAAATGCATGTGTTATTGCTCAAAAATTTCACATTATGGCTTTAAGCTTATTCATCTCCATGGAGACAAGCAGGCGGGGCAACCAGGCCAAGTTACAGGTCAGAGAGACAAGTTTAAAGAACGTATGTGTGTCAAGGTATTTTTGACCAATAAAAACATCTGACCAACATTTGACCAATAAAAAACATCCATGAGTTTAATGCCATACTGTGGGACATTCCAGACAAAACACTAACTTTGTACCTATGAAACTCCCCACAGACATGAGACAACACTGCATGCTGAAATGACATTATATTTGTACTGAATTTGAG